ACGCCATCAATTTCGATGTCGAGGCGGATGGTGGAGATGCCGAGGCCGTTGAGGCCCGGGAATTGGGAAGAGAAGGCGGGGGTTACGGCGGCTTTGATGATGTTGTCGGTATTTCCGGTGGCGCCAAGTCCGGAGAAGACGAAATCGGAGATGGTGACGGTAGATTCTTTTTTGCAGGAGAATCCGGCTGGAGTGGTGGGGAGGGAGAGATCGGCGACGCAGAAGTCGGCGGCGGAGGAGGGCGAGAGAATGGAGGAGGAGAGGAGGAGGAGAAGGAAAGGGATCGGGAGCATTTTTGATATTTTTTTGTGGATGGAGATAAAGATATATGTGTGGAGCGAGGTGCTTAATTAATCGAGGATATATCTCTCTCTCGAGACGGGGGGCGGTGGGCGAGAGAGAGAGACAGAGAGACCCTGAGATTTTACAAGGTAGAAAATAGTCATTTGTGGGGAAATTTTTTTTGCTTTTGTTAATTACTGACAGAATTTTCGTAATTAGTACCACTGCTTAGTATAAGGTTATCAAGAAAGCTGGAGCTTTCTCTCTCTCTCTTTTTTGCAAATCAGGAGAAGATATAATTTTAGGAGATGAACTTATGAGATCGATGCAAAATGTCGTTCGGAGATCAATCAAAATGTATCATGTTGGCTGTACCGAGTAGTACCGAGTCGCGATATTTAGCACAGGGTGACGTAGCATATTCTGGTTGCTCTCTGGATGACATTCGACGTCCGCACATAATAATTAATCTTTCATCACAACTGACAGCGAGTCCGGCCATGATTCTGGGGATCTATTTTGCTAAAGAAGTTTGATTGTTGAAGCAAAAATATGATGTAGTAGAGATTTGATTTTAATATCTTTGAGATTAATTTCTAAAATTTGTGTAGACTATTAAACACTCCCTCATTAGTCATTATAGAGAAATTATTCCGAACAGAGTTCAAACACGTACAACTTTTTCGATAAGACTCTAATCAGATGAAAAGTCATTAGGCTCCACTTAATTGGAGTATGGACAAAATACGGAGTCCGCACGTATTATTTTTTTCTCATTATGAGAAACATAAAGTAGTAGGAGGGTGGAAGATTAAGCTCCTTAACTATTTCTGATATATTGCGGATGGACAATCATAAACTATTATAGAAAAAATAAATAATTTCAGGCTTTCAAAGAGGGGTGGATCCATTTTCTTTTTTGAGGATGAATAAAATTTTAATTAATTAGACGACCGCAATAATAATAATAATAATAATAATAATAATAATAGTAATAATAATAAAATAATTTTTTAAAAAATTTAACTAATGCTATCAAATTTATTAGAGGAAATTTTTATCGTTTATTCGCAGGTCAACATGCTTTAACAAGGAATAAATTCTATTATCATCTCTGGAGAAATCTGAATAAAAATATACTTTAAGAAAATTGAGTTATATAATGTTCCTAAACACTATAGAACAAATAATGCCTAAAACGGATAGATGTTGTCGACTTGAATATTTGAGGCAATAGAGAAGTATAAAGTTTAACATCTTAGCGTTGTACGAAGATCTAGCACACAAACAGATCTTGAGTGGACGGACGATGTTGATTCCTCCCTTGATCATAGAACATTTATTAAATATTTGAGTACCTTAATGGTATTAGAAATCAACGATCTTGAGCTCGTTGGATTCGTATCTTCGAGCCGCTCGATTCGACTATAAGCATATCACTTTTGGAAACCGTTTGATAATCCAAGTTATGGTTTGAACCTTTGAAATGTGCTTCGGGTCCTTAATTTGGACTCATTTGGGCTTGGATTGAGTCGAATTTGGTGTTGTTGGGTTCGTATTTTTGAGACACTCAGTTCGACTATAAGTTGGCTAAAATCGGAGTTCAGATGGTCTCTGATTTCTTTTTTGAAGTTTCAAACTTGATTTTTTCTCGAGATTCATGCCCGATCAACATAATTTTTTGATGATATATCAATAGCTTAGTCTTGATTAAGAAAAATAAATTAATCCAGCTCCTTTCTCTAAGATCGAGCATGTATATAAGGGAAAATAATGAATTTCTCAGGTATAAAAATGTAAAGGTTAACTTTGTTCTTCCTTATTCTCCTTGGTTGATGGTGATTGGGTAAAGACACATACAATTGAATTTTTTTTTAGGGGGGCACGTGCCCCCCCTTGCCCCCCTCCGCTCTTGGAGATGGTCATGTTAGGGCAAAAATTTTTCTTTGAGGGGGGCATAATTTCAAAATTATCCCTCTTTTATATATATATATATAACAAAATTATCATAACATAAGTGGGGATTTGCCCATGCTTTCAAAAGATTTTTTTTTTAAGAAAATATTAAATTTCAGTCATAAAAAATCAAAATGCATGTCATCGAAAATGCCTTTGAAATTACTGACTATTTTTTCTGCCGAAAATAACGGTGAAAAACATTTTTTTTCCATAGTGAACCCAAAATTATGCTCTTTGCATCCTAACAACTTTAAGTGATGGCCCTTCGCTTCAACGAGTGGCTGTTTATCTTCGATTTCCTCCTCATATTCTGTTCGCCATTTTGTTCAAGGGAAAAAGATTAATGGTGGTAAAATATTCTGATGAAAATTTTGATCAAGATAAATTATTAAAGTTTTTTATCTATATTTAGATGAGTATAATACATAAATTATTAGCATTACAATATTTTTATAGTAGAACTGGCCACTTTTTGTTCATGAAAAAATATTATATCGTGCATGACCTAAAAAAGTTCTAGAATCTTAATGGGTCAAATTGAAATGCTCTTACTGTCCAAAACATATATATATATATATATATATATAATGCTGAGGTGGATGTGTGGCTTTACTTTAGAGATAGAATGCGAAATGACTATTAGTGTTGGTCCGGCGGAGGTAAGTTAAATGTTTCCCTTAATCTCCCACCTATTTACGGTCACTTTAAAAATCTATAAATAAAGCCTCCTTTTCTCTTGAAAAGGGGATCCCAAGTCAAAGGATTCAAGAGAGAGATCATAGATCGATCTTGCCTCCTTGCTCCTTCTCGACCACCATCGGACTTCCGTCAGACCACCATCTGACGTCATTGCTCCGCCGGACCACCACTTGAGGCCCTCACCTTCGTTGGACCACCATTTGAGGCCCTCACCTCCGCAGGACAACCACTTGAGGCTCTCACCTCCACCGGATCACTGTCTGACGTCATTGCTCCGTTGAACCACCATTTAAAGCCCTCACCTTTGTCGAACCACCACTTGAGGTCCTCACCTCCGTCGGACCACCGCCTAAAATCGTTGCTCCCCCAAACCACCATTTGAGACCCTGATCACCTCCACCGGACCACCGTCTCACGTCGTTGCTTTGCCGGACCACCACTTGAGGCCCTTACCTCCTCCACCACTTGAAGTCCTCACCTCCGTCGGACCACCACCTGAAGCCTAGAGTTCTACCAAACCACCACCTAAGGGTTAGAGTTCCACCAAACCACCACCTGAGGCCCGGACTTCCGACAAACCACCACTTAAAGCCTGGACTTATGTCGAACCACCACCTGAGGCCCAGAGTCCGCCAGACCACCAACTGACGCCCTTATTTTCAAGTAGCACTGGACTTCTGTCAGTCCACCAAGTGACGCTATACTTTGCTCGGATTTTCAAATAGCATCGGACTTCTATCATTCCACCAAGTGACGTTATACTTTCATACCCGTTTGTCACTAAATTTCAACCAAACAGTTGACAATTGTAATCTGATCTCCCACAGGGGCGAGTCAGCCTATTGTAATCTACTCAAACACTAGTGGAATCATTTCAGACTGGGCCAAGCCCCGTGGTTTTTCCCCTTTTTAGGATTTTCTACGTAAAAAACGACGTGTGTTCTTTGTGTGTGAGTTGGATATTCGTACAATGCTAAGGCGCGGTATTTTAACTATATCGCCACGTATATTCTAGCTTGCAACAAATAGAAATCAAGAATTTATCGCTCACCATAAACATATCATGAATAAAAATGCTAACATTACGCTGCAAAATGCATTGATTTATCATTTGTGGGATCAATATACTAATTCTAATCTTTAGTTTACCCTTGCATTTTTGTCGTTCATATTTATGTGTTTTATTGTAATTTTTATTTTATTAAATATATCTTTGTTTATTTAGGACATATTAATATTCAAAATTATTTTATCGAGCAAAAAAAAAAATATTTTTAAAAGGTATAATAGGTTTAATTCAAAAGATTGATAAATATAAATACATAATTTAAAAAAAAATGTAAAATAAAGTATGAGAAAAAATATATACTAGGAATATTCTTATTTTGATGTTAGAAAATGAAATTCGGTTGGAAATAAGTTAATGCATTTTTTAGTGAAAATTGAGTTTTTCAGTTGGAGATGCCCTAATAGAAGCATAAAAGTTAGTTAAGTTGCGTACAAAGATAAGAATGCTCATGTGGATTAGTTTTTCACTCTTAGAGAGATAGAATGCGAAACAAGTATATACGTGAAAAGGTTCGAGTAGCTTTAGTGACAAATTTAGAGAATCATCTCAGATAATTTGATCACATAAAATGTCAACTTTCAATAAACCAGTAAGGAGAGTAGATGTATGAGCTATAGTTTATGTTAAAAAAGATAGTGATAGACCTCAAAGATTTTATTTAGAAAGTATTATAAATTATTTTTTTTTATTAGATTAAAAGGAGAATTTGTCTCTTAACATGAGATAATGGAAAAAATTCTCACCGTAGTAAGATAAAGATTTAATATTATTCTATATTATATTCAAATATCCGGAAGGCCTTTCTACTCTCTGCGCACCTTATGCTTAGAAGCATAAGGACAATTAATTTGGTTCATGATAGTAGTAATATATTTTATCTGTAATATTTTATGTTCTTAAAATAAATATAAATAAAAAATTTATTTTATATTTAGCTATTTATGCAATGATTTTGCCCGCCCTCAAAAAAATGGGCTGAATCCGCCCAAAATGATAAGAAATGACAAACACAAGCTAGCTTAACACAAAACATAGAGAAATTATTACATGAGCTATCATCTGAGCTCAATATCAATTAGCTCAGCGTTCGAGCTCCACCAAAGCACGCTAAAATTCATCACATAACAAACACATGAAAACAACAAACCAACTGAAAGGCAAATTATTAACTCAGAGCAGCATCCGTGAGCGATATTTTAGTCCTTAGCCGGTTCCCCCTAAGACCTTCTTCAGCTTCTTAACCTGCGCGTCATCGAGGAAGGTCACCTTCTCCACTAAGTGGGACGGCAAAGAACTCCCGAACAACGAAAGGCTCGTAATCTGCAATCCCGGGTCCGGGCTGTTGAAAGTAGCAAATGCGACCGCCGGCGTGCTGCCTGACTGCACCTGCAAGTAGTCACGGTTATAAGAAATACTCCAATTTTTTTCTTTTAGCTCTCTGAAGAAAAGAAGCAACTTTTTTTTTCTTTTAATTGATTAGATCGATAAATTAAAAAAATAGGTTTTCATATTTTGATTAAATGTTTTATTAGGATAGATTTTAAAATTATTTGATTTATCTTAAAAGTTGTAGTATAAATTTTAATTATTTCTCATGAGCTCATTTCAAAGCAAATTTAATATCAAAAGATTGAGCCGTGAGCCCGTGAGGTTGATGATAGGTATTCTATTCAATAATAAACGAACAGAAGAGTCCAATAAAGTCCTAAGATTAATTTACAGTTTAATTAATTACCTGGAAGTGCAGCAGGCCTTGGGGAAAAACCATTGTATCTCCTTCGGACAGCGTCTTATAATAAACAGTATTGGAGGAAGAGATGAAGCCAGCTTCGATGGAGCCTTGTATAACTAAGAGGACCTCGGAGGCGGCGGGGTGAGTGTGGAGAGGGACTACGCCATCAATTGCAAGGTCGAGGCGGGCGAGGGAGAGGCCGAGGCCGTTGAGGCCCGGGAATTGCGTGGTGAAGGCGGGGGTTACGGCGGCTTTGACGATGTTGTTGGTATTTCCGGGGGCGCCGAGTCCGGAGAAGACGAAATCGGAGGTGCTGACGGTGGATGCTTTCTTGCAGGAGAATCCGGCTGGATTGGTGGGGAGGGAGAGATCGGCGGCGCAGAAGTCGGCGGCGGAGGAGGGGGAGAGGATGGAAGAGAGGAGGAGGACAAGGAAAGGGATTGGGAGCATTGTTTGTAAATTTTTGTGGATGGAGATAGAGATATGTGTGTGGAGCGAGCTGCTTAATCGAGGATATATATCTCTCTCGAGACGGAAAGAGAGAGAGAGAGAGAGGCATGGCCGCTTGAGGGATTTTACAAGGTAGAAAATAGTAATTTGTGGGGATTTTTTTTTTTTGCTTTCGTTAATTTGCGACAGAATTTTTTAAATTAGTACACTGCTTAGTAAAAAGGCAGGAGCTTTCTCTCTTTTTTTCACCCAAAATCAGGAGAAAATAGGATTTTAAGAGGTGAACTTAACTAAAGAACCCTTTTTATTAGTTAAAATTTTATATTTGAGGGTGGCTCAACTTACAGTGATTCCAGCCATGATTGTAAGAATCTCTATGTTGCTAAAGAAGTTTGATTGTTGAAGCAAAAATATTATATAGTACAGATTTGATTTTAATATCTTGACAATAATTTCTAAAATTTGTGTAGACTATTAAACACTCACTCATTGTGAAGAGATTATTTCGTATGGAGTTCAAAGACAACTTTTTCGTTCGGACTTTAATTAGAAGAAGAGTCAGGTGGCTTCACTTGATTGGAGTCCGGACAAAATCCGAACTCCACACGTAATATCTTTTTTTCTCATTTTTGAGGAACATTAAGCGTCTTAGATGGATAATCATGAACAATTATAGAAAAAATAAACAATTCCAAGCTTCCAAAAGATATTTTCATAAAAAAATATTAAATTTTAGTCGTGGAAAATCAAAATTGCTTTTGAAATTACTGGCCATTTTTTCTACTGAAAATAACGGTGAAAAACATTTTTTTTCCATAGTGAACCCAAAGTTTAAGTCAATAGAGTGGCCTCTAGTATATGAAGAAACTCATCTCTTATTTCACTTCAAATATAAGATTACTTTTTGCTCTAATGAGAACTCTCCACAACCATCACAATTCCCATCAAATTAAAAATGTTTTGACATTATTAACTAAGGGTTTGTTCGGAACTGTTTTTTATTACTTTTTTACAGCAAATTTCTAGTACAAAATTTTTAATTTTTTATTACAAAATTACTTTAAGAAACAATAAAAAGCCGTTCCAAACAAAGCCTAAATGACAAGCTTCATGAGAGCTTATGTGAGATCTAAGCTTCGTTTGGGACGATTTTTTTGTTGCTTCTTAAAGTAACTTTTTTTTATAGAAAAATTAAAATTTTTATACTAAAAAATTATTTTAAGAAATAACAAAAAAGCCATCCCAAATGAAGCCTTATTCGCTCTCACACGTGATTGATGATTGTATCAATAAATGACAAGCTCAATGAGAGCTTTGAACAATATAAATTGCTAGATTCCAAATTTCCCATCGGTCTAATTCCGGCCACTCCTTAATTAATAGGGATGTGGAACAACAGCAACCGTAGATTAATCTAAACTGTTTTTTTTTTTTTTTAATTTCATTTTGATGATATAATTATTCTCAATTATCCTAACAACTTTAAGCCATGGCCCTTCGCCTTAACGAGTGGAACTTTTATTGCGTTCTCTGACCGGACGTAGCTCTACGTTCGGTCAGAGAATTGTTACTCGGTTTTTGCTAGGTATTTGGTCGGTATTGCTAGGTATTGTTTGGTAATAACGAGGAATGCCGCTCTGTGAAGGCCAATACCGAGTAATACCGAGCAATATCGAGCAATACCGAGTAATCCCAAAAAATACCGAGTTTTTCTATAAAAAAAAAACTCGGTATTTTTCGGGATTACTCATTATTGCTCGGTATTACTCGGTATTTGATCTTAGCATTATGGTATTTCTCGTTATTGTTGGTATTGCTCGGTATTTCTCGTTTTGTGCCTAAGATCTTAGTGCCGGCCGAACGTAGCACTACGTACGTTTACGGACCAAATAAAAGTTCCAATGAGTGGTTGTTTATCTTCGATCTCCTCCTCATATTGTGCTCGCCATTTTGTTGGTAAAACATTCTGATGAAAATTTTGATCAAGATAAATTATTAAAGTTTTTTATCCATTTTTAGATGGTATGATAAATAAATTATTAGCATTACAATAATTTTATAGTAGAACTGACCACTTTTTATTCATGAAAAATATTATATCGCGCACGATCCCGAAAAAAGTTCAAGAATCTTAATAGGTCAGATCCAAATGCTCAAACTATTCAAAAATATATTTATATATAAAAAAATGTTAGCCGTGAAAAGAGAAGTATAAAAGTAAGTTGACTGTTGCAGAGATGACAATGCTCCCGTGGACGAGTGGCTTCACTCTTAGGTCTGGTTTGAAACTGTTTTTTATTATTTTTTTAAGTAATTTTTTAGTACAAAAAATTTAATTTTTATACTAAAAAGCTACTTCAAAAAGTAATAAAAAAGCCATCACAAATGAAGACTTAGGCTTCGTTTGGGACGGCTTTTTTATTGCTTTCTAAAATGGAGTTTTAGTATTCAGAAAACAATAAAAAAGCCGTCCCAAACGAAGCCTTAGAGACATAATTCGAAATGAGTATATACGTGAGAAGGTTGGAGTAGCTCCAATGATAGATAATATGAGAGAAAGTAACAGTAAGTAGATAGTTAATGACAGATAAGATGAGAGAGAGAGAGAGAGAGAGAGAGAGAGAGTCACCTTAAATGGTTTGGTCACATAAAACATAGGCCTTTTTCAATGACCCGATTAGGAGAGTAGATGTATTAGATATGACTATTGTTAAGAGGCAGTGATAGACCTAAACATATTTTAGTTAGAAAGTATTAAAAATTACTTTTTTTTATTAGTTTTACACGTGACTTTGAATTTTAGTATGACATAATGAAGAAAAAAGATTCATATAATTGACCTTACGTAGTGAGATAAAAATTTAATGTTATTGTATATTCTATTTAAACATCCGAATCTACATAAGACATTTATACCCTCTCTACTTACCTTAACTTCCTGCATAAGGACAATTGGGTCCATTATAGGAGTAAGACAAATATTTTATCTATAATATTTTATGTTATTTTCAAAAAAGAAAATTTTATGTTCTTTAAATGAATATAAATAAAAAAAATTATTTTAGGTCAAAATTTAGATGTCTCAGTAAAATTGGGTAGTGGGCATTCTACCAAAATTTTCAATAATGAATTGTTGGAAGAGAAATCAACAAATCAAAGCTCACTAATTTTTATTTTTAAGAAAGTTCACCAATAAATCATAAAATATATAGCTCTATTAATTCATCAAAAGCCAACAAGAATTGCTGAAAATCACGAAATAAGCAGTTGGAAAAGGGCTTACATTTGTTGCGAGTTCTCTTATTATATTAATGAAGATCTTGATGGAGTGCTTGGCGAAATATCTTTCTCAGGGCAAATTATTGGGTCAGGTAACCGAACGCAGAGATAGGTCCAGATATTAATAAAATATTATTTTAAAATTAGCCCAAGTAAAGCGCAACTAAAGCGCAGGTAAAGCACAACTAAAACGCAACTAAAGCGCAACCAAAGTGCAAGTAAAAAAGCGCAACTAAAGCGCAACCAAAGCGCAACTAAAGCGCAAGTCAAAAAGCGCAACTAAAGTGCAAGGGACGCGTCAAATTTTTATTGGATGTCCGAACTTATTTTCCGCCTCCGGTCACCTAACCCAATAATTTGCCCTTTCTCAGACCTCTTTCCGCTTTGTCAAATCTTCTTATGGCTCAGCATTTTGGCGCTCTATCATCAGAATAAGATCTCTCATGAAGAAGCAATTATTACGTCCGGTCAAAATCGAACGTATCTGAATGTACCGAGTTTTAGGTGACGTGGCGCGTGGTTATTAGTCTATGAACGCATTCGGTGACCGGACGTAATAATTGCTCCTTATGAAGGCTAGGAAAATATATAATATATATTGATGGAAACCCTAAAACAGGACAGGATGATTTGAAATACCAATGACATGCTTTGATGGTGTGTGTAAATATTATTGGCAACAACACCAGAAGATTGGAGAGTGAAAATATAGGCTTCGTTTCAGATAGTTTTTTATAAAGCAGCAAGAAAGTCACCCCAAATGAAGCTATAATCGAGTGATGTAGTTAAAAGACTATAGTCAAGTGAGATAGTAGTCATAAGATTCATTTTGATTATATGATGATGGTCAAGAGAGCATTATAAGGCAACAATAGTTGGACAATAATGGTACGGTGATGACAGGTAGTTAATGACAATCGGGTGATGAATTCGCCAGTGTAGTCAGGCCCATCTATTGACCTGACCCATCCTGTCCGCTCGCTTTCAAATGAACTCCCACAATGTTTCATTATATAGAGCAAAATCATATTGCTTTACATGGTGTCTAACAACCCTAAGATAGTTCAATTATAAAGCTAGGGTTATTATTAAATGACCAAATAATTTTTATATAATTGAGCGATTTCAGGGCGGTTAGATTTCACTCATTAAGACGCTCAATTTGATAATAATCATGCAATATATAAAAATTATTTAGTCATTTAATTAATATCACAAAATTTTCACATGATTTATTTAAGCATATTTGTACTCAAATCCACATACTCTTATTATAATTGGACTCATCACCTTGAGACATTCAGTTCTACTATACATTTTTTGAAATTGAAGTTTTGATTATCCTTAATATAATTCTAGTAGTTTTCAACTCAATTATTATTAATCTAAACATTTTATTTATTTGAATTTTACATCATATTTAATCCTCAAATAATATGCAAAATTTGTATAACGAATATAATATAAGGGAAATTATAGAAGAATCAAGAATATAAAGTAAATTGAAAAATAAATAAATAAACTAATATTAAAAGTGCATTTTATTGATTTTTTAAAGAGCCACTATTTATTAAATAAATAAGTGAATCAATATTCAAAATTATTTATTTATTTCTTAAATTTTTATATATTTCTTAAATTTAGGTATCTGCCCACTGTCATCATCTTAAGAGATGCATGACTGCGTAATTAATATCTCGACGAGCCTACCAGTAACCAACCCCATAGGTGCAAGATCCGCAGTTATTTTCTCCCCCTTAAGGGATCGCGCCGCATGAGAGAATATTCGAACATGGATTAGGGCATTTCCAATGAAACGGCAAACAATCGTTTTCCGTTCTTCCGACGCTCCACCCGAGCGGCAATTTTGACTCTATTTTATCGCGGATGAACAGTGTGACTCCAATATTGGCGTCGCACTATTCACTCGCCATTTGTTTTTTTTTTTTAATTTAAAAATATATAAAATTAAGTATGGGAATGAATATACTATGAATATTCTTTTTTTTTTTGTGCTAAAAAATGGAGTTCGATTGGAGGGCAAATTATTCGGTTCGGACATCGGACACCGTCCAGAGCCCAATGAAAATACGTCACATCACCCCCTACTCGATACTGAGCTCGGTACTGAGTAGTACCAAGCAGTATTGCACAGTATCGAGCTCAGTATTGCTCGGTACTTGATAACATGACTGCACCTGCTTGGTCTCCAAACGATAAGCTGTGTTCGGTGTCCGAACTCAATAATTTCGCCGGTTGGAGACAAGTTACTTCATTTTGGTGTATTACTTATTACATTTTGGAGTAAAAAATGAGTTTTTCAGTTGGAGATGCCCTTAGAGATTTCTCAACCATGCTCGCCCACCAATCTAATTAAGCTCGATAGAGTAATTCCTTTTTTTTCAAGCTTAACTATATAAATCAATATTTTTAATACACACTAAATTGAATTTAAAATTTTATTCTATATTTCTTTTACTTCATAACAAATATTATTAATATTTTTATAACTCTTTTTTTTTTAATTGTTTTTTATACCCTTACATTTGGCATACTTTAAACTTCTTTTACTTCAAACCAATCAAATATACTATTTCAATCGATTTAATTTGAATTTTTAATTTAGACAATTTTCTCTTTTTTTTTTTTTTTTGAACATTTAGATCAATTAAGATAAACCCACACATAAATCATACATAAAAATTCGAACCCAAAAATTCTTAGTTGATAGTTTAAAAACCAACAGATCAAAATAAATATGTAGATAATTTTCTCGCACAGTTCTAAATATTGCGCATGTACAATTATTGCCAAACTTTTAGAAGATCTGCACCCCTGCACATGGATCTTTTGTTGTCTACGACAGTACAGTAATTTATCACATGTGATCTATTATAAACTAATAAATAAGAATGGCATTAATCTATTATAAAAAATTTAATTTTTTAACTTAAAAGTTATTTTAAAAATCAATAAAAAAACTATCCCAAATCAAGTCTTAGGTTTCATTTGGGACGGCTTTCTTACTACTTTTTAAAGCAGCTTTTTAGTACAAAATTTAACTAAAAATTTTTGTACTAAAAAACTGCTTTAAAAAGCAGTAAGAAAGTCGTCCCAAATGAAGCCTAAGTTTATTGATTGTGATCTTTGACTACTAACCAAAAGATCTTGATTTTAAGTATTGAGTATATAATGTGTGTGAATTTTAGCTTAACCAGCCAAAAAAAAAAAAAAAAAACAAAAAAAAAAAAAAAAAAAAGATGTGCCCTAAATAGGGCAAATTATTGGGTCAGGTGACCGAACGCAGAGATAGGTCCGGATATTAATAAAATATTATTTTAAAAATAGCGCAAGTGAAGCGCAGGTAAAGCGCAACTAAAGCGCAAGTCAAAAAAGCGCAACTAAAGCGCAGGTAAAGCGCAACTAAAGCGCAACTAAAGCGCAAGGTGACGCGGCAAATTTTTATTGGATGTCCGAACTTATCTTTTGCCTCCGGTCACCTGACCCAATAATTTGCCCCTAAATAGATTGCATTCCACAAGAATCCCATTATTTGTATTTCAGATCTGAGCTTTCTCAAGCTTACAATCATTTTCTTGGCGTCTCTATCATTCCAGTCTCTTCTAAGAAGTGAGTGTCCGCTTGTGCAACATTGTTTAACAATATATTATTAAGTTGTGAAGATTAACAGTTTGCATAAAAAATATCAAGCATTTATTTGCATATTAAACCAACGATATCGAACTATAATAAAATATAAAATAATGACAAGAAGACAATAATATGTAATCAACAATTAAACAAACCTATACAAAAAATTTATGGCCGGAGAAACAGAAATCATAGGCGTGAGTTACAGCAAAAAAATAAAACTGTGAAAGGGTAACACTATTAATCAAACTATTTATTATTCTCATATTAATGAAGAAGCTTGAGATATTTTACACTGACAAAATAATAATCATTCCCTCATATAGAGCGTACTAACAGACTAATAAGAAATAGAATCAGAAGAAAATCTTATCAGGAGATTCTAACCTGCCCAGGTATGGAGTCCAACACGGTATGTGCTCTTCAAAGCCGACCCTTGGATTGAACCTGAATTCTTCTATCTTGGCCGTTGAGCACAGAGCTGCCAAATAGAGGCTTTGCTTCGATACCTGTAATTATGAATCTCTCATGAATTTAAATTACTTGGGCAAGTATTTTCTCCTGTAAATGGAAGGAGAATGAGTGAGAAATCATGGCTTGTTAGCCGGTGTTTTTATTTCCTCTGTGGCCTTTCACAAATGCATCCAGGTAGTGGATTTGCATAGAAAGATTCTTCAAACTTGGGGAATTCACCGGGCTCCCTGTAGTATGGAGCACCAATTCGATCTTTGTGTAGTTTCTTCACCTTTGATCTGAACTGCTTCCATGAGATCTTCCCCTCATCATAATCATCAACAAGTTTCACTAAGTTTAACCTGCAGGAAAAAGGTGAAAATTGAGCTGAGAATTAAGAATGCATAGCGTAAGAGGAATGTGGTATCTGCAAAATCAGCTCCATTCTTAGAAAGAAAAAATGTTTGAACTACAATTTAAAAAATGGCTTGCAATTCTACTTATTTATGATCTTAGTCTATCAATTTTAAAGAAAATAATCTAAAGTGCTCATTGGTTTTCATTGATAATATGTTGATATATTTGAATTATAAAGTTGCATAAAATTTTAAGAACGAGAATTCAAGCATAAAATTTATTTTATGAATCTATTATGAATAGATCAGAGAGAGAGAGAGAGAGAGAGAGAGAATCATGAGATTTTTTAATAATGACACCAAGATAATTTTGCCATAGTATTATATCTAGAAATGTCAATGGAACCTGCATATACTAATGAAATCATATTGGAATGCTAAACCAAATTATTTGATCATATAAACTCCCCCAAAATCTTCTTTTTTTCTTCTTTCATTTATAGTTATTTTATTTGTCTATCACATTTTACTTTCATTTTTTAATTTTTTTTGCTTTTTTGAAAATAAAAATAAATACACTTTAATATATATAATATTCTACTAAAGTAAATTATTTCCCTTTGTAATCTTATACTTTTTATTCTCAAACAATTCAAATATCACTTTTTATTAAGTCGTTTATAATCATAATAGCAATTCCTAAAGGCATATTTTACCAGTCCTATTCTCAACAGGTCAAATATCGATTAAATTAAATCACCTATAATTATAGTGATCCTTAATTTATCAAATAAAATATTAATGACATTCACTTACTAGTAACCATAAGGGAAACAAGTAAAACACTATTAGCTGTAAAAAAAATGTTGAGAAAAAAATCGGAACACATTAATAACATGTCTCAAACATCTCAGCCATAGCCAAGGCACACCACAAATCAGGTGGAACGACCGGAAAGAAGGATGAATGCCAAACAAAGAATAGAATACAAAACCATATTAAGACCTCAGATAACTTATAGGCTGGCATCTGCATGCACCTATTAAACCCTATTTGATGAAGGGAACATAAAAATTTCTTAACATAGATATTTTTATAGTTAAGACAGGAAAAAAAGATGGGCATATTTACTCGCATATCACTTGAGACATGATAATCAAAAATACTCTTATAGTTTGCCTCTTGTGATATCCTTCGGAGAAAGGAGAGCCGCCTCCTGTTGCGCCACTTTCCAAGGAGAAAGTAGGAGAAGGCTTGCCCAGACACTTCAGAGGATGCCGCTACCTGTGCCAGGGATTGAAGAGGGCTTGCTCACCAGCTGGCAATGCAAATTGGTTATTTCAATTCACCCTTCGAAGGAATTTGTTCATGTAATAATAAAGTGGCCATTGTTTCTAAACATCTTCTTTAATTAGAATTGAGCTGACCGCTTCCTCACCCACTACAAGGTAGCAACTTCAATGGGTTGAATGCATGATTGTATTCTTTAATTCCTTGAAATTGTTTTGCACTTATGATCATTTTGATGAATGGCAATCATTTGTCTCTGAACATTAAGAAGATGCAACCTAGACCAGCAATTCCTCTTATAAATCACCAAAACAGTTTAGACATTCTTGATGGTGACATCTCTAAAATTGCTTAGACTATCAAGATTCACCATTACACCCTCCAGAGTAAAAAGAAAGCCAATGAACTTCCCTAAAATTTCTCTATTGGAGTATGACTTTGTTTGAAACGGCTTTCTCATTGCTTTCTAAAGCAGCTTTCTAGTACAAAAATTTCTTGAACTAGAAATTTTTGTACTAGAAAACTGCTTTAGAAAACAGTAAGAAAGTCATTCCAAATGAAGTCTAAGCTAAAGTCTTTCTTCTCACTAGCAAGTCATTGGCATAAATATTTCAACTTTCCTATCCTTTAAAAGGGTTGCCCATCATTCACTGGTAGTCATACAGTATTCTTCAATCCAAATGGCATGATACTGTAGCAATGCAAGCCATCATAGGTAATGAAAGTTGTCTTCTCCCAATCCGTAAGTACATATTTGTGAAATTATCAAGAAAGCTCGTTACCAAAAAGTAAATGGTAAGGTTAACTAGTGCTTAATCCATAGAAGTAGGGAGTTATCCTTAAGATAAGCATGGTTCAACTTGATAAAATTGATGCACATCCTCGACTTCCCAAAAGCCTTTTGGACCATCATAGCATTTAAGATCAAATCCGGGTACTAGATTTCTTGGATGAAGCCAAACTTAAACAACTTCTAGACCTTATAGCGGAAAGGCTTTGCCAAAGTCATGGCGACTTGGCAAATTCTCCGTTTGATTGATCTGGCTAACTTATCAATGTTTAATCAATGGCAAATGATATTGAAGTTTACTCCTGGAGTTACTCTAAAAAACAAGCAAAGGTATCAATATTCAATCAGAAGCCACCGACGAGTTGAACTTGGTGATATGAATCAAAAGAAACATTGATGCATAAACTGCGAGTTGGCAGACTACGCTTCTTCAATGGCCTCTAAAGCCTCAGGCCAACTCCCATTTGAAATTTGGTTTGCAAAGATTTACATTGACGAATTCAATTGCCTTGGACAGCATGCTCGAGATTGCAAGTATATTGGATAGTAAGAGTTCAAATTCTCAAAAGAAACTTCATTGTGACATGGTAAGTCAAGATGACTAGAATGTATTCAAGAGAAATCAAATAAAGATGACATTGTAATTTGTTGGGGCATCAACTGATGAAATCCTTCATTGCAATGTCCAAAAGGTTCTCCTCTTACACAAGTAAATGGTAGCACAATCTAGCCTTAGCCTCCCTACATTGACGTGAAATACCATGAGAAGGCCATAAATGGGCAACAACAAAGAAGAATCAATGATCATTTGATTAAAACACTTTTAAAGATAATGCTAAAAAAATTTCCTATATTTTCAAGATAGAACCGATTTGATAGTTGGCCATTAGGGCAATAATGACTAACTTAAATAGAGGGACTTTTTGTTTGCGATCGTTTAGTGCCATTAAAGGTGATGGGCGCTTTAGAAGATGATGGCAAACTTGACATAACATGAACCTCTCCTTAATGGAGTTGCTCGAGGCTTGCTTATCGTAAAGCTTTAGCACAGGCTCTGCCAATAATCTCTTGGATCATCCTAGCAATGGATCGGCCATGTTGGGACAACTTCATTCTTGTTCACCTTAGTAGGCACCTTGTTTAGATGTCGTCTCAAGTCGGCAAAGACAAACTATTTAAGCTTATTCTAGCAGATAAATCTTCAATGAGGCTTTGAGGGTTGCAGCAATCCTTTTTATTGTGATTGTGATTTTTGTGAAAGATGTGATAGTTAGAGAGGTCACGAGTTGATGTTGTTTTACACATTGATGATGGATAGCAAAAATATTCCTGGTCACACTGTTAGACCGGTCCAATCCAGCCAGTCTACACGGGACCGGCCCAGGCAAATAAGGATGGAAATCTCCGCCTCTTCTACGCCCCACGCAATCCGCCGGATCCCATTTAGGAAGGTTTTTTTAGAGAATCAGGAGGGGAAATTTGAATGTAGGGACTGTTTAGGGATGTCCTTTTGATTTGTATGCAATAAATAGTTGGTTTTCCTAGAGTTAGGTAATCTTGAATTTGGGCTGAAATTTAAGATCTCTTAGATTTAGGATTTTTTTTGGGCTCTAGTAAGATTAGGGAGAACGATCCTCCTCTCGAATTGAGGATCAACTGTATCTTGCTATTTCCCGTTTCTATTTCATCAAATAATACAAAAAATCTACTGTTTTTCCTATTTTTGTGTGAATTTTTGTGGAGAATTATCGCTGTTTTTCGAAGATAAATAAGAAATACAAGAGATCTACAAGTGTTTCCTATCAAGATATCAATTATTTCCTATCAAATTAATATCATAGCAGTTTTTGCGATCTTTGGTGGGCTGTTTTGGTAAATTTCAGCGGTTGCTCTTGGGATTTCGAAGAAGAAAGTTGATGTTTTTGAAGGTTGAAATCCATATTTTTATTTCTACAAAAATTCGGGAGTCAATGGTGGCCAAGAAGATGAATGCGTTGGAGGAATGCCTTGAAGTGGAGATTGGACAAATGAAATATGAAATTTCAGATCTCCAAACTCAAGTTTCATATTTAAAAAAAGATGTTTCAACCATTCATGATAAGTTCGACTCGAAATTTTCTATCCTGGAGTAAATGTTGAAGAAAGTGCTCGAGGGCCAAACAAAAATATCGACGTCGGAGGTAGGGAAGGCGCCGACAGCCACGGAGATGGGAAAAACCCTAAGCCAATCAGGAAGTGGAGACTCGAAATGGAGAAGAGAAAATAACTCTCCTAGAGCCAATTTCTAGGGAGGAGCCGGATAGAGGGAAAGAGGAGAGGCGTGAAGAGGTAGGGCAAGAACGAAGATGTGCTGATTTGAAGAGGAGAGGGAAAAGATTGGAAAGGAAAATGAGTAATTATGATCAAAGGGGGGCTGAATTTGAAAGTGAAAGAGTTTGTTATGATTCAAGGGGTGGTGAATTTGAGAGGAGAAGAAGTCAATTTGATGAAAGGCTGGGTATGAATGTAAAAGGGATGATTGGGATGCTTGGGGGAACCTTGGGAAATGAGAAATTATGGAGGGAATAGAGGGAACGGAGGCGATCCGAGGGTGAGAAAATTGAAAATGTCAATATTTGAGGGGGAGGATGCGCACGGGTGGATCTATAAGGTTGAAATATATTTCGCCGTCAATGGGTTGACGGAGGAGGAGAGACTGACGGCAACAGACCTATGCTTGGAAGGGAAAGCTTTGGCTTGGTACAAATGGAGGGACATGCGACGACCCATACAAAGTTAGAGGGAGTTCAAGGATTGTTTGATAGAACGTTTTCGAACCGACAGGGGAGGAGACTTCTACGAGCAGTTCTTCACCTTGACGCAGGATGGCTCAGTGATAGAGTACTGGGAGAAGTTCGAGTACCTTGCTAGCCGATTGGACCGCCTTTCTGAGACAGTGCAAGAGGGGAACTTCATGAAGGGATTGACACCAGAGATTCAGGCAACGGTTAGAGTAACGAGGCCTCGCGACTTGGGGGAGGCTTATGAGCTAGCTCAATTGGTAGAAGATCAGAGGCACCTGGAGAGAGAGACATGAGGCAACAACTCAGGAGGCTCGTACAAGATGACCACCACCTTATTGAAATCCACGGAGCCAACACCGGATACTCTACAGGGGACTTCGAAGGAAAAGATTGCAGGAGGAAGACCTGGGGACAACTTCAAGAAACTCACAGAGACGGAATTACAGGAGAAGATGATGAAGGGACTATATTTTAGATGTGATGAGAGGTATACGCCGGGGCACAGGTGTAAGGACCGAACTCTTCAGGTTCTTACCATTTGTGATGAAGAAGGAATGGAGGAGGGTGCGTCTTTCCACCTTGCGGACAAGGTGGAGCTTTGGGAGGGGAGTATTGTTAGACCGGTCTAGCCGATCCACACGGGACCAACATAGGTGAATAAGGGCGGAAATCTTTGCCTCCTGTACGCCCCGCGCAATCTGCCGGATCCCATGGAGTTGTTTAGGAAGGTTTTTTTGAGAGAATTAGGAGGGAAATTTGAATGTAGGGACTGTTTAGGGATTTCCTTTCAATTTGTATACATTAAATAGATGATTTTCCTAGGGTTAGGGCATCTTGAATTTGGGCTGAAATTTGAGATCTCATAGATTTAGGTTTTCTTTTGGTCTCTAGCGGCATCTAAAGATTTGGGAGAGATCGATCCTCCTCTCGAATTGAGGATAAACTATATCTTGCTATTTCCTGTTTCTATTTCATCAAATAATACAAAATATCTACTGTTTTTCCTGTTTTTGTGTGGATTTTTCTAGAAAATTCTCGTTGTTTTCCAAAGATTGATAAAAAATACTTGAGATCTACAAGTGTTTCCTATCACACACATGGCAACAATAATCTCTACAGTAACACATGAAGCGAAGTGTACATTAGATAACTCGAATGTTGAGATGACCTCTCCCATTCTAAGAGAACATAAGTTGTCATGCTCTATCTTGCTTCTTAAGGCAATACCCTTTCTAATGTTAACAATGATGCGGCTTCTCGGCCAACTTGTCTTGATATTGGTACGTCTTGTTTAGCTAACCTCTAGGATCTCACCATGAATACCCTATAGAACCAGAGTGAAAACGCTTAGAAGTTGAAGCAATATTATTATATTCTCTACATTTATGTGATTGTTAGCCAACTGCAATAATTCAACCACTGTCTTGGGTTTATGCAAGCCAAGCGCAACTTAAAAAATGACCCTTTCAAAGGACCAGAATAAGTACTTCCAGAGTAACAATAGGTTCCATATCTTGTACATCTAACTACCTGTGCTAGAACCAAGTGACAAAATGGCGAAGCAACTCTCTTGGCTCTTGCCTTTTGCGTCATGTTTCATGAGAGTCAGGAGTTTTTCAATTGCTTTTGGACGCTAGCTAAGTGATGAACTATCACTTGAAGCAAATGAAAGAAGAAATGCTACATGGAGCAAGGTGCGATAACCACCACAATGGCGCCTCTTTAAAAGTAGTAAAGATCCTATGAGATTTTACAAAGTTGCTCATAGTGATAAGGTAAATATCCAGATAAAATCAAATCATTATGTGGATTCTTAATTAATTATGAATTAAAATTAAACCTTCACTTGACTCTCTCTCTCTCTCTCTCTCACTAAATTAACAACTCCTCTTCAGTCTCCTCCTGATATCTCTCTCCTCTTAAATTGCTATATAACCTTTATAGGACTATATATAACAACAGGTCCCTCTTTTTTCTTCTCTGAAACTCATCTCTTCAATTCCCTTACATCTGCCTAAGGAAGAAATCAAGTTAACTTTCAAGAAACTGAAGAGAAAGAAGACCAAGAAGGGGATCCACAACATCCCATCATCAAATTGCCACCAAACGATTCTCCTCCTAAATCAAGTGGTATCAGGCAATGTTTTTCTCCATGAAATTTCTCTTGGCTGTATTAATACAAGCATAAACTCAGAAAGAAAAATAGGCACAAGATTAATATATGCAACAAGAAAAAAATGCAAGCATGAATAGGCACATGCATAGTTAGATTATTTACTATTATGGAGACATCTCACATGTGCGACAAAAATGCAAATGTGCACATAAATGTAGACATGCATAAAGGAAGCATAAATAGAAATACCTATCAGGATTAATTGTTTTTTTGAAGTTCTTAAACCGCCTATGACCCTGCACAGCCTTTGCCATATTTCCATCATATGTGTAAATAAAAACATCGCTCTGAAGAGCAACAACATAGTCCAACCCAGCAAGCATGTTCTGGTGATTTCTGAAAGGTCTAAGTTCCTCTTCTGAAGACAAGGTTGAATGAGAGTAGATGTGTGGAAAATCATCTGTAAGATACTTCATGCTACCATTTCCAAAGGCATCACCAGCCACCAAGTATATGCGTGTGCTTGATGGAAATCCCAATCCTTTGAGGAGAAGGGATGTTTCCCTTGGAGTTAAAGGACAACCACCCTGCTTTCGTCTCTCGGAACCATCAATCTCCTTCTCCTTCCAATGGCTCACTTCATAACGCATTTCTCGAAGTTCCTCCTCTTCACTTTTTGTCAAATTATTGCTACAACCTGTAAAAGCAAGCATGTCTTTTTCATATCTGCAAAAAATGAAAATCAAATAACTTTTTAAGCCTGCAATGTGATACTAAAACCAACAAACAAGGACAAACGAATAAGAAAAAACATAGAAAAAGAACATGCATAATACAAAGCAAAGCGTGTTAAGGCAGTGTATTACTACAAGGGGTGTCAATGAAAGCTAATTTGATCTTTGAATAAGATTGCTAACAGGTACAGCAAAACATATAAACAATTCTTTTGTACAGAATTTAACATTTCTTAATTAGCGCACAAAATTGTTTTACCTATCATTGGATGTAGAAACTCTAAGCTGCGACTGTCAGAATCATAAAATAAAAAATAATAATTAACTCCGCCTGATAAAAACACATCAAAGATGCTACTTGTATTCAGAAATGACTCTGTGGGGCTAATTTGGTTCAAGTTTTCCAGAAGTAATGCTTTCTGAATGACAATTCATTTTGAAAGGCCCATTTTAAAATGGAGAAGAGTTTGATTAAGTGTGTTAGACGGAATCACCAATTTACCTGGGGTGATGATACCAAAATGGTTCTGTATGAACACAACAATCTACGCATGAAGCAGAGGAGATAACACTACAAATTAGATTGCAGCCATGTCAGACACAAGCCAGAAAACATCACTGCAGTTTTAATTTATAGGATGCAGTACTTTTTATCTAAGTTCAAATCAAACACTGTTTAATTCTTTTTAAAACACTCAGCATTAAAAAACCCATGTATCCAAGTCCTATCTAAATGGCTCTCTTTGTTTCATCGAGAGTGTTACATTTCTTGGAGAAGGAAAAGAGGTTCTTCTTCATCTTGGATGAGAGAGAGAGAGCGAGCGGGAGAGAGAAGGGAGCTAACAGGGACCTTTATTCATCTTTTGAAATTAATACAAAGGGGCTTTTACCATCATCCTATAATGCCTATTTAAAGGCATTTAAATCTGGTGTAATAACTCGCGGATCAACCTAATCTAAAATCAGACCAATACACAACAATATCCACCATGGTCCGATTTTACAATCAAAAAATCACATGTTCGTCTGTTGCAATCTGACCAGCTCCCTGCACTAACTCCACTAGCAAACCCGCATAACCGAGCCCAATCCCGCTCGCACTCTGCCTTCACTGTGTGTTCCGATCCACAACTTCAGCTTGCGCTCTCGCGCATTCTAACCCACATGTGTCTGCACTCGTTGTTGTGCCTCCCGTGATTTGCATGACCGTGCATTGTGCATTGCCTACTCCTGCATTCTTCTGGTCCACGCATTTGCTGCTACACAGCACGCCCATGCTCCAGCATCGATAACACTTCGACTCGCCAATCTTCCCTGGGTACCCATGCAAGCTCCAACTAGCGACATCGCGCGAGCCACCTGTGTAATTTCAAGTCTACAACTAATCTGCCGCCCCAAGATTCTTCGTCTTGCTGGTTTTGATCTCCGCTCCTTCGACACACCAAAACTGTTAATCCTGCTTGCTGGTTTTCCCTTTTCAAAACTCTACCTCAAAAGATCAAAATTGGTACTAGAATAAATTCTTGCTCTCTTACCCATCTACCCGCAGTCAAGATTGCAAGTATTGTTGTTCTTCTTCCACTTCATAGGTCAACCTTCAAGCATTTCCTTATTCTTCAACTTGTTCAACAGCTCTCTCATTGTAAAAGTTTGGCTTCCCGCTCCATCAATATTCTGCTCGGACTTACTGGACAAGCCCGAATTCTTCTCCTTCATCCCGACATCCGCTTCCTCCACCGGCTTCCTTTGTCTCACACAAAAACATGACCCGTCCGGCGTCCGCAACCTGACTAGCCACCTGTGGCACCCGGCACTCCGTGCATCAGTGAGGCACGCCCACGCTCACACCACTACAGGTTTGACCCAGCCAGCGTCCGCTTGTACCCAACAACATTTAGCCGGCCCGCCTGTGCAATCTCTAGCACGTACGCTTCCGACCCAGGTGACCGCAGGATGCACCACACATGGGCCGCCTTTTGCTCAAGCACATGGACGCCTTCTTCCCACGCGCGCCGTACCAGGCCTCTTGTCTGCCTCCGAGACTGCTTCCGCGCCTATCCGCTTCGACTAAAGCCCCGCATCCAAGAAACAGACTAGACTCTACTGCACGCATGAGACCCACGCAACAAACCGCTCCAAGCGGTCTCCATGCTCCCTTGAATACAAGAATCTTCCTCATTCCTCGAGATCACCTCAATGAGGCTCTGATATCACTTGTTATGATTCTTACATGAGGAAGAAGATGGATCTTCTTGAACTTGGATGAGAGAGAGAAATAGGGAGAGAGGAAACACATATGAATCGCTTATTCCTTATTCATAAGCTATTAAAAGGGGTCTAATTACATAAGCTTGAGCATCCAATATATAGGAATTTGGACACTGGTGTGGTGTCTCTGCGAAACCACTAATCCTCAAAATAGACTAAAATACAACAATTTCCATCTTGGTCCAAATTTTACCCCAAAAAATAAATAAAACCACCTGTTTACAAGAACTCACATTTGCCGCAATTCGATTGGCTCCCTGCACTAACTCCACGAGCAAACCCTCTAAACTAAGCCCAATTATGCTTACGAACATACTCCAATGTATGTTTTGATCCACGGCTCCCGCTCACGCTCCCGTGCATTCTAAACCACATGCGCCTACGCCCCTTGTTGTTCCTCCCGTGATCTGCACGCTCATGCCTTGTGCATCTTTCTCCCGCGCGACATAGCTACACTCCAACACCGAGCAACCTTCAGCTCATATGTCTTCCTCGGGTACTTCTGTGCGCTTTAGCCTAAGACTTCGCATGATCCACCAGTCCAATCCTGAGTTCGTTGCCCGCTTCTTGCACACACCTGCGTGGTTTTGCTCCGAGGCTCTTAATCAACTGTCCTGACCGCACGATCAACTCCACCTATGCAATCTCATCTCTCTGTCTGCTTGCTGATTTGCCCCTGTTTGGACCCGTAAACTCCACCTAAAAAATCTAAACTAATCTTTAATCAAGAATTTCTACATCATTCCTACAATCTGTCAGTACCCGAGTCGTGCCATATCTATTTGTAACTCGAATTCGACCACAAGAACGCATCTCGCACGCGCTCGCCCACGTTCCATGCTTCCCTGCCTGCATTAAAAAGCCCGTGTGTTGCCCTTATTGCATGCATACCCCCACGTCTGCCCGCATGAACCTGTCAACTGAATTCGCACGTCTGCCCACATGCAATCGTCCGCGACAACAAGCTCTGCACGTTTTCCTAGCGCCATGAGCCCAGCGAGTCCTCCCGAGCCCGTAGCCCTGTGTGTTTTCTACGGTCGCGATGCCAAGCCGCTCTGCGCACACCTAGTCTACTCCCACATGCAAGCAATTGCACCTATGTCATGTCGTTCATAAAATCTTGTGTGCTCCGCTCCGACCGAACAACCACACCCGTTGTCTTACGCGATTGTGATCGAAGAACCAAGCCGCGAGAACCGCACCTCCTAGCTTGCATCTGCACAGAGCTTGCCCGCATGCATCCACTCGTTTCGTACGCGACACCTATACGTAGCCTGGATTCCCTCTGCTCCTACTTTTGTACGCGCCCAACACAGCTAGCTCATGCTTCTAATCCTCTTTGATCCGGTAAGGGACCTTGGCATCCCATCGCCTCCGCCTACTAGCGCATAGAATTGACCAGCACAACCTCCAGCAATGCCGGCAACCCGACCGCTCCTCTTTTCTTGGACAAGAATCTTCCTCGAAATCGCCTCAACGAGAGTCTTAAACCACTTGTTACATTTCTTGGAGGAGGAAGAGAGGCTCTTCTTCATCATGGATTTGTGTGTGTGTGTGTGTGTGTGTGTGAGAGAGAGAGAGAGAGAGAGAGAGAGAGAGAGAGAGAGAGAGAGAGAGAGAGAGAAGGGAGCTAACAGGGACCTTTATTCATCTTTTGGACTTGTTACAAAGTGGGTTTTTACCATCATCCTACAATGCCTATCTATAGGCATTTACACATGGTGTGATAACTAGTCTAATCTAAAACCAGACCAATAAACAATAGAGAGAATAAAATGTTTTCAATCAGTAACCTTTAACGTAACATACTGACAATATAACTAGTGTGAATGTGTCATTATATAGTAAAAAATATATTGTTTCTATGATAACAGCATGGCATATAGCAAAAAGCTGAAACAACAATACAACAAGATGTAAAGCCAAGACAATTTTATGTTGGGGATAGATGAGGAGCAAACACCACAATGATGAAACAAGCAAGAAAGTAAAAGTAGTGGAAAAGTAAAGAATATCAGGATTTAACGTGAAAAAACTTAAAATAGGGAAAAAAACCACGGAGCCACACCACACCAAGAAACCACTATGAAAATTGGGAGAAATAAGTGCATATCTCTTTTTTCTCACTCTCTCCTTCCTTCTCTTCTTAGATGCACTACTCTCACTCTTGCCCTAACTAGAAATACAAGAGAAAGCCAAGTAAAATAACTCTAAGGGACACAACCCTTCAGAAAATGAGAAAGAAAACCATATAGTTCGTCTTGCAGCACTGCGGCACCCAGTCTCTGTTTGATAATGCTGCAGCGCTTAAACACTCAACGCTGTTGCGCTCAGTCTCTGTCTTGACCCGCTATGGTGCCATATCTTTACATATGCGGTGTTCTGTCCTCTGTCGCTCAGCGTTGGGGCGCTCGAATACACAGCGTCGGGGCTTTGCACCCAAATCAAAGCAGGGGGTAACCATACCCCCAACGTACATGACAAGCTTTGAGGTCCGAGGTAACATAATAACCAGATTAATCAACACAATTAGATTCCACACATAATATATTTTACTGTAAACTTTGAATGAGTTACATTAAATTAAAAAAAAAAATTATCTCTTGTAGCCAAGGGCCGAAAAAAAGTGGAAGTGCATTAAAGGGCCATTTGAATTTGGTTCATGGTAATAAAATTCTTGGGCATAAGCCAGGCCGTTAATAGACCGATGTTGGCCATGCAGAAACAGCTGACATTTATTTTAACATCCTAGATGCTTGAAAATGAAGTTTAACGATGGTTTTCTGTAGGCTGGAGAAGGAGCCCTTCAATCCGAAATATAAATCCTAAACCATTGGAATAACAATTAGAAGAATTTTTGTTGGAATCTAAGAATGGACGGAGCTTTAGGTTAACAACAGCCACAATAGGCAATGAGTATTCTAGAAAATGCTACACTTGTTAACAGCTCACCTGCATAAAACTTAGATCTTGCTGGAATAAAAATGAAATGTCTATGTTAGAAAAGCTTTGCAATAACGTTATACTTTTTATTTGGTACAGCAAGATGATATCCAGCATGTGGATAAATTACAAATTCCATGAATGCAAACTGGGAAAAAAACTTTTTTTGAGAAAAAACGATCATGTAGGAGCCATTCATTTATTGAGAGGTTTTATGGATAAGTATAGAGAGACTAAGGAGGATCTACATATGATATTTATTAACTTAGAGAAAGCATATGATAAAGTTCCAAGAGAAGTGTTATGGAAAGTTCTAGAAAAGAAAGAGGTTAATAATGCTTATATTCAAGTCATTAAGGATATGTACGCAAGAGTTGTTACTTGTATTCAAACAGAAGGTGGTTTGACCAAGTTTTTTTCCTATTTCAATTGGAATACATCAAAGTTCAGCTTTAAGCCCGTATCTTTTTACTTTTAGTCATGGATGTTCTTACTAGACATTTGCAAGAGGATGTACCCTGGTATATGCTTTCTGCTGATGCTATCTTTTTTGTTGATAAGACTGGAGAGGTAGTTGAACGTAAACTTGAATTATGGAGGCCAACCTTAAAGTCTAAAAGTTTTCGTTTGAGTATATCTAAAACCGAATACATGAATGTAATTTAGTTGTAATAGATCTAGTAGGGGGATTGTGACTTTGCGCAATCAAGTCATTAATAAAAGTACACGCTTTAGATATCTCAGGTTTATTGTTCAGACTGATGGTGAAATAGATGGGAATATTATTAGTAGAATTCAAGTTGGATGGTTGAAGTGGATGAATGCATTGGGCCTGATGTGTGATAGAAAAATACCTCTCAAACATAATGGAAAATTTTTATAAGATGGTAGTGAGACCTGCAATGCTTTATGGCACAGAATGTTGGCCATTAAAAAAGAAGCATAAGATTAAGTGTTGTAGAGCTGGGGATGCTTTGGTGTATGAGTGGCTTTACTCTTGGAGACAGAATGTGAAGCGAGCATATACGTGAAAAGGTTGGAGTAGCTCTAGTGGCAGATAAGATTAGAGAGAGTCGCCTTAGATGGTTTGGTGACATAAATCGTCGACCTTTAAATAACCCGGTTAAGAGAGTAAATGTATTAGATTTGGCTTATGTTAAGAAAGGTAGAGGTATACCTAAAAAGACTTGATTAGAAAATATTAGAAATGACCTTTCTTCATTAGATTTAAATGAGAATTTAATTCTAAACAGGACACAATGGAGAAAAATGATTCATGTAGCCGACCCCACTTAGTAGGATAAAGACTTGATGTTGATGTTGTTATTGTTGTAGGAGCCATGAAAATCTTGTTGGATCCATGTGGCAGCAATGAGTGTAGGTAAATGCCCTACCCATTGCAAAGAGAAATAGTTTCCCCAATCACCGTTCGGGGGAGAAAATATCACTTTTTCATATAGGAGCTGAAAAACAAGCTTGGTAACATGGAAAACAAGTAAACTGCAATGACTTTCTCACTTCACTATCAAGTGATAAGTATGGAGTGATGTCACAGTTTTGCAACAGGCAACCTATGAGTGCAAAAAACATCTCACATATGTAGGATGATATAATCACTTATAAAGGGATATATTATTATCTAACAAGTTAAAAGGATTTGCGCAAAAACTACCAGTTTTCAGAGACTATTTATGATCAAGCAGCTCTCAGATGCATGCAGCAAAGCAGTTATTCTTCATATCATGGTAACACAACATTAAAACTTCAATATCGGAGCAAATCCAAAACAAAAGAACGCAAACTACACACTAAGAAAGATTTTCAGTTGAAACAATTCACTTGTTGAAAGAAAGATTACTGGAAAATGTAAAAGCCTAAAGCAAGGCCATTGCAGACCTTACCGTAAATGAAGTGCAACATATGGTTGTCCTTCTTGCCGCATCCTTGATACTAAGACTGCCCCATAGCCTTCAATGGGAGCAGAATATTTCAGTGCCTTATAATTTACTCGACATCTCAATTTCTGGATAGAGTTTGGAAGCCCATTGTTAGCAAGCCGGGCATCAGTATGTGTGAAGTATATAACTCTGTGTTCTTGCAATAGAGGGAGGACATCTGCTTTGTAATAATTCACCTGAACCATGTCGACAGAATAATCAATGTGGAGCACAAAGCAACGGAACACAACTTTGAATTGTTATTTCTAAAAAGAGTGCCGGATAAACCTTAGACCAAGATATAGGAGTTTTCATAAATGGTTCAGTCTCTCTGAAGGCAGCTGGCAAAGTATCAACTATATGAACATCGTCCTTTAAGGTCTCCATAAAATATTTCCAATCAAAAAGATCCTTGAAATTACTGTTGAATATGAAATGACAAATATTCATGATTGTATAACAAAGAAACCAATGCTGCCAAGAGGGTGATTAGAAAAAAGGCAATCTTATTAACCTATCATCTGCCCAGTAGGATGTATGGTCAAGTGAAGGAAGAATAAGCGTGGCTTTCATAATCTTGGCAACAGCAACCATGTCACAGATCTGCACTCTAAAAAAATCATGCATCAGAATATTGAATGACATTCAAACAGAAACCTAATTGAAACCCTTAAACTGTATTCATACCCCGAATCTCATCTGATTCAAACCTCCATTTGCATTAATTATAATATAGCCGTTTGTCATAGCATCAAGCTCTGCAGGCAAAAAAAAAAAATCTTAAAATAATAGAATCTAAATTGCATGATAACTACAATGAAACAAGAGAAGAAGAAAACCTCATTCAAGAAAATAGCAATTGTCAGAAATCATGAAAAGATCAACTTACTCTTATAATTTGCTGGTTCAATACACTTCTTAAATTTTTCACTGTTTGGCTTAGTCCAAATCTCTGAATGCTGGTGAGTAGAAAGGAAGTGTTACTGAAAGATTTAAAGGTCAAACGGCATATCAAGGACCTGCAGTGATGCGGATGGACTTACCTCAATTACATGGTCATGAATCTCATGACCACCATCCAAACCCAATGAAAACGTCATCAGGTATCTGTCATTGTCCCCCCCTCCCTTAAATCCATGACTAGATGATAAATCCACCCTCTGACTGGTCATTTCAGTCAAGAAATCCTGTTAAATGCAAGCACAATAATTATAATATAAGAGAAACTTTATTATATGTAACTATGTCTAACTAGCTAACCCTGAAGGTTGGTTTGAATTCAAAAGTTTCAAACAACTAAAAATATCTTGATGCAGATAAGACAGGAAAGATCCTGCAAGCTTTCTAACAACATAAATCTAGAAAGTAAATGAGCTACTATATCATTCAGGTAGCCAAAATTTTGAATCTAATACCAGATATGGCCCCAAAAAACAAACTATAATTGAAAAATAAGAAGAAAAATAGACATCGTGATTCTGAATGAAAAAACTACATTGTATAAGTGAGGATTTATTTACCTAAATTACAAGGACCCACTCAGTTATAACATTCGGGGCATTATTCCCCCAAGGGGCACACTAACCCACTACATTTGAATGAATCACTTGCCCAAACAAGAGGAATCTCTTACTGTTATATCCGCTCTCTAAAACCCTTTCATGTCTAAGCATTTTATAGTCTCAAAGATGAACACTTCGGCCAATTTAAGGATATGGTTAGTAGGTGGTTAGTTGTGGTTGGGAAGAATAATTTATACCAATGAAAACTTAATCATTCTCTCCTTCATTGAAGAAATTTGGTCACAATTTTAATATATGATGAGACACCCATTCTACATAGTTGTAAAATACTTATGGATATTTATGGAGAATGTTGGTATAAACATGGTAACATGAAGATCGAATGCCAATGGAGGAAGAATTTAAAGGATAGAAGAGATAAAAGAGTAACTTTATAGGTATTTATAGAGTGAAAGTGACTACACATAACACGTGACCTTCATCTGTGTAATAATTGATAATCCTCGCTATTCTCGCAAAGGGTTGTAAGAATATAGCTCATGTGGGTGACCAAACAAGGAAATTTTATTCAAAATATCACAACATTCATCAAAGAGAGAACACTAGTTCCTTATAGGAAAAATAACTAAGGGGAACAAAAGACTAATTGGTTCTTATATGACTTAAAGCATAAGAGAAAACACAAATCTCTCATAAATTACATCATAGCAAATCTAAATGTTACACCATAAAAAGGACATACAACAACAACATCAAGCCTTTATCCCACTATGTGGGGTCGGCTACATAAATCATTTTTCTCCATTGTGTTTGATTACTCATTTAAATCTAATAAAAAAATATTATTTTTAATATTAGGTCTACCTCTACCTTTCTTAACATAGGTCAAATCTAATACATCTACTTTCCTAACTGAGTCATCGGAAGGCTACCATTTTATGTGACCAAATCATCTGAGGCGACTCTCTCTAATCTTATCTTCCACTGGAGTTCTCCAACCTTTTCACGAATATGCTCACTTTGTATCATGTCTCTAAGAGTAAAGCCACTCATCCACCTGAGCATCCTCATCTCTGCAACACTTAACTTAATATTATACTTCTCTTTTAATAGCCAACATTCTGCACCATAAAGCATTACAGGTCTCACCACCATCTTATAGAATTTTCCCTTAAGTTTGAGGGGGACTTTTCTATCACGCAAGTCAGATACATTCCTTCACTTCAATCCTCCAACTTGAATTCTACTAAAAATATCCCCATCCATTTCACCATCACTCTAAACAATAGACCCAAGATATCTAAAACGT